TAAGATTGTGTCTGGGTGTTCTTCTCCAAGAATTTTCTTCCTGGCATCCAGAACCTGGACCTCCAGCTTCTCTGCTTCTGTATGTTTTCCCAGGTCACTGTATGTTAATGCAAGATTTCCCATGGCTAAGATTGTGTGTGGGTGTTCTTCTCCAAGAATTTTCTTACTGGCATCCAGAACTTGGACCCCCAGCTTCTCTGCTTCTGTATGTTTTCCCACATCACTGTATGTTAATGCAAGATTTCCCATGGCTAAGATTGTGTGTGGGTGTTCTTCTCCAAGAATTTTCTTCTTGGCATCCAGAACTTGGACCCCCAGCTTCTCTGCTTCTGTATGTTTTCCTAGGTCTCTGTATGTTGATGCAAGATTTCCCATGGCTAAGATTGTGTCTGGGTGTTCTTCTCCAAGAATTTTCTTACTGGCATCCAGAACTTGGACCCCCAGCTTCTCTGCTTCTGTATGTTTTCCCACATCACTGTATGTTAATGCAAGATTTCCCATGGCTAAGATTGTGTGTGGGTGTTCTTCTCCAAGAATTTTCTTCTTGGCATCCAGAACTTGGACCCCCAGCTTCTCTGCTTCTGTATGTTTTCCTAGGTCTCTGTATGTTGATGCAAGATTTCCCATGGCTAAGATTGTGTCTGGGTGTTCTTCTCCAAGAATTTTCTTCCTGGCATCCAGAACTTGGACCCGCAGCTTCTCTGCTTCTGAATGTTTTCCCAGGTCTCTGTATGTTAATGCAAGATTTCCCATGGCTAAGATTGTGTGTGGGTGTTCTTCTCCAAGAATTTTCTTACTGGCATCCAGAACTTGGACCCCCAGCTTCTCTGCTTCTGTATGTTTTCCCACATCACTGTATGTTAATGCAAGATTTCCCATGGCTAAGATTGTGTGTGGGTGTTCTTCTCCAAGAATTTTCTTCCTTGGCATCCAGAACTTGGACCCCCAGCTTCTCTGCTTCTGTATGTTTTCCTAGGTCACTGTATGTTAATGCAAGATTTCCCATGGCTAAGATTGTGTGTGGGTGTTCTTCTCCAAGAATTTTCTTCCTGGCATCCAGAACTTGGACCCCCAGCTTCTCTGCTTCTGAATGTTTTCCCAGATCTCTGTATGTTGATGCAAGATTTCCCATGGCTAAGATTGTGTGTGGGTGTTCTTCTCCAAGAATTTTCTTCCTGGCATCCAGAACTTGGACCCCCAGCTTCTCTGCTTCTGAATGTTTTCCCAGGTCTCTGTATGTTGATGCAAGATTTCCCATGGCTAAGATTGTGTCTGGGTGTTCTTCTCC